TTTTTTTTTCATTCAGGATTGAAGGCAGATTCACCCTGCATTTTCAAACTTGTCTTTCAAAAGGTCTCTAATTGCTTAGAAGTAGTTAATGAGCAATTCCAAAAGTGATTAGAAAGGGAGGTTTGTGAACTTAGTGTCCTTTAAAAGTCTTCACCTTGGCTGTGAGCAAGATGGCTAATCTTGTCATCTCCCGGTGCTCAAACCCGTGGAAAACCTCTGTCCTGCTGTCTCCTCGTGAGGAGCAGCCACCCGGAGCACATGTGGGTGACCTCCTGTCCTCTCCTTATCCAGAGAGGTTCTAAGGAACTAGTCCACTCACCGATTCCTTAGTCTGTGCCACGGTCATTGGGCCTTCAGTTCGTTATACCTCCCCCAGAAGTCCCTGGCCTGATTTATAAACTGAGATTGCCATGTTTTTTCTGGTTGCTTGAGAAGGACCAAGGTAAGAGTTTGAGTCCCATCATCTCTTCCAATCCTTCTTGCTTCATGTGACTTTGCTGGCTGAGATTAGCCAAAGTTCCCAGAAGGGAGAAGTTGTGATTTTTATGACTGAACATGGGGCATCTCTCTGATTTGTTTGCCGTTCCCATGTTCTACTGAAGTCTCCTGGCACGAGATACCACCAATGAGCTGTTCTCCTGATTCCTTCACTGAGTTCTTCCTGCAGGCATCAGATGGAGATTCATCTGGCCTAGATACCAGTTCTTCCACGTTGCTCCTTGCTTTAGCTCTTTCTTCAGCTGTTGCTGAGAATACTTGGGGCTGGCCCTTAACCTGAAGGTATCTGGGGACAGTCCTTGGCTTGAGTATATTGTGGAACAGTCCTTAACATAGACCAGTTATGATTTGAAGTTTCAGGACCAGGTGCCGTGATTGCCCTTGTGCATTTATTCTTTTCCTTCACTGCCAAAACAAATGTAAAAACCCAGCAAGCAGCCCAACAACAAGCCGTGAGTGTCCAGGGAACAGCTTGCCTTGGAAGAGGTGTTACCCGTTCTTCTGCTGAAGGTTGCTAATCATGTTCCTCCTTGTGTTC